ATTATGAAAATTGAACAGCATGAGTAAGATGCGCGATATATCGGAAGATATGATGGGTCAGACATGATTTTGACCACTAAATTTACATTTACACATTTACATTTAGTCATTTATTTTAGCAGACGCTTTTATCCAAAGCGACTCAACTGAGGACTAAACCAAGCGAGTCATCGTGAAAAGGCAAAAACAATGCAAGAAGTGCTCAAAATACAAAGTTCGGACATTGCTCGGAGTAGCATAAGCCAGACAAGCGAGGATTTAAAGGAAAAGGATTTTTATTTTTTTATGTTAAGTATAAATTAAGTTTTGTTTTGTAGAAAGCCTTTTTAAAGTGAATTTCGTTTTGTATAAATTGTATCTTAATTTTAATCAATTTTTCATCAACCAATTGACTGGGTATAATAGCCTAAATAAGAAGCAAATATAGCAGACATTATGATAAAGATAAGGAGGCGCGATTGCATTGCACGTGAACTGGAGCACATCTCATCATAAATTTTGCTCATTTAAATAATAGTGTGTGTGTGTGTGTGTATATATATATATATATATATATATGGCTAATTGTGCAGCTCCCCCTGTCAATGACCTAGCACCCCCTCAGCACCTGCGTTAAAAATTATCTGGCGCCGCCCCTATGTCTGACCTTGAGACTGATGTGTCTGCAGCGTGAATAATAAATATGCCGAGATCGGCTAAAGATGATTCATCTCTATCGTCCACTTTTTCTTTTGAATGCAACGCTAGCTGAAACATAACTCAACACTCCCTATACACAGAGTATGCGCGATCACCAATTTGAAAGTAAAACACAAGCTCCCTGATGTGCATTACGCACAAATTAGGCTTCATAGTCCGCCTCCCAATACCCATCTCTGGACTGTTTATTTGCGGCTATGGTCTCTGTTTGCACTTCAAATATTGAGAGAGTATGGCTTAAAGACAACAGACAAGGGAGGCTCTGTTTCTGAACTTATAATCGGAACACAAGAACAACATAGAGACAAACACACCAGCCTCGTTTCTCTCTACCCGGGCTTTTCCGAACTCACCGCATTAACCCTATAACTGCCGGTGCAAAATAAAACAGCAATTTCAAAACAATTATAAAGAGTCTGTGTGCTAACTTTGATTATGGTTGCACTTGCACTTATTGTTTGCACTTCAGACTTCAATGAGTTCAGTTAGGAGGTCACACACAGCCTCAATCAGAAATAGAGGCCTGCATTTCAGCCCGAGCCCGACGGGCCCCGACTTATTTACGCTTCTAGGGCCGGGCTTCGGGCCAATTTTCACGTCATAGTTCACACGCGGGCCGGGCCTCGGGCCTGTTTTAGGCTTATCTTTTTTTATAGCCTATTTTAGACATTAATTAAAATAAAATATGAGAAGATGACGATTGAAAAGCAAACATAGAAAGACGTTTTATAACCTATCACACTGACATGACTGACACATGACAGTCTGCTCACGCACACGCACAGGTTTCCCGGCGGCGCGATCTGAGATTCGTGCGACCGGCTCGTTCTGTGTTTAGTGTCCCGGTGGCGAGCGTGACTTCAGCGCAGCTGGAAAAAGTACGACTGGATTAAAACCTTCCACTGTGGATGCTGTGCTTTTTCTTCACGATGCTCTGAGACTGTTCTTAGCCATATTAGGAGGTTGTTTTTTGTTTGATTGGACTTTATTTTCATGAGTCTGTTGAAAACTATTGGAAATAAGAATGGCCATGTTCTGTAGTGAAGACTTGATTTTTGAGGTAAGATAACCTGCATGTTTGTTTTTAATGTAATTTATTTGATTTGTTTAGATTGCATTCTCTGTATTGTATTGTAAACTCATTTAGTTTGCGGGAGCTGTTGCGACTGAGCAGCATCAGTTTGCCTCAGCTTTTCAAAAATGACAATAAACGTTTAAACAAACGTTAACTGTCTGTGTGATATGCTTAAGTTGTTATATATATATGGATTGTATTGTAGCCAAGTAAAGTGTTGATTTGAGAGGCTATAAATGGATCAAACATGTTTAACTCACTGTCGGCTGCTTGGTCGTCATAAAAAAAAAAAAAAAAAAAAAATTCTAAATTAACTTTATAAAGAAATGAAAATAAACTTACTGGTAAATACTTTGCCATTGAGAACAAAAAAATATCTGTTTTACTGACTGCAACATAGGGCAGGCTGTGATTTTTTTTTTTTTTTTTTTTTTTTACGGGCTCGGGTCGGAATCGGGCTGATCATTCTAATGAGCTGTCGGACACGGGCCGGGCTAGGGCCTGAGCGTCTCGGGCCAGGGCCGGGCTAGGGCCTAGATTTGAGGCCCGTGCAGGGCTCTAATCAGAAATTTTGAAAGCTCTTAAATGTACAGTAAGGTCTGAAGAGACTCATGTGAAATCAAACAGGAGAAAAGCCAGTCAATAAAAACCTTTTACAGTGCTTGTATATTGTTTTCTTTCAATGCATTTGATAATTCATACTCATAAAGTAGACCTGAAATGACATGCATTAGAAGATTATTAGATTGCAAAATTCACCTGCATACTATTTTTCCAGTCATGAATTTGCTAAATTGCTAGAAACATTGCTAAATTACGTAACATGCTATCTGTTTCCGATGCAGAAAAGTTAGTTCATGCATTCATGACCTCGAGACTAGATTACTGTAATGCTTTATTAGCCGGTTGTCCTGCATCCTCAATAAACAAGCTACAGTTAGTGCAAAATGCAGCTGCTAGAGTTCTTACTAGGTCAAGAAAATATGATCATATAACACCAATTTTATCATCTCTACACTGGTTACCTATCAAGTTCCGTATCAATTACAAAGTACTATTACTGACCTATAAAGCCCTAAATGGTTTAGCTCCTGTGTATTTAATGGACCTTCTATCGCCCTACAATCCATCGCGTTCTTTAAGATCACTAAATTCGAGGCTTCTAGTCATTCCTAGGATATCTAAGTCCACTAAAGGAGGGAGGGCGTTCTCACATTTAGCTCCTAAACTCTGGAATAGCCTTCCTGATATTGTTCGAGGCTCTGACTCGCTGTCCCAGTTTAAAACTAGATTAAAGACGCATCTTTTTAGCCAAGCATTTACATAATGCTTACCTTTTATTATACTGCTGAATCAGGTCAAATGCATTTAATACTATAAAACTTGAAGAGACTGTAGGTTATCTGTATAGGTTGCATAGTATTTGCAGTCATTACGTTCCTGTGTATATTGCGTGAATGACGGGTGGTTGGGCAGATATTGTGTTGCGGTAGGTAGTATGCCATACGGAACCGTTGTCCACTGAAACTGCCTATTCACGCACCAGTGGGGCTCGACAGCCTTAGTCAACGGGTTGGCGCGTATGGTTGGGTTGCGGAGAGATTGTGAGATTGTGGTTAGGTCTCAGCAGCAGGAGGGACGTAGAGGTCAGTAAGCTGGGCTGAGTTGAGTGGGGGACGGAGGGGGGTGATTTTGGGACGCAAGAGTCACTGTATTCATGTTTTGTCTTTTACGCCTGTGTTATGGAAATCATCATTATGAACAGCAGCTACGCTAATTATTTTCCCTTTGCTTTTCTGCTGTTATCTCGGGACGCGAGTCCCGAGAAAATGGCGTTCGTCAGCTCCAGTTTGTATCCAGCCTCTCACGGAGACTTCAGATGCTCCAATCACAAAGCCTATGAAGTGACGACTCAACACGGGCGATATGGACTCTCTATGGTGGACGCCACTGATCCTCAACAACTCGTCTTAAGACCGGCGTGCATACTTGGACTTCCAAAAAATACTCTAAATGTTCCGATCCAATCTGACTTGTAATGCTGCCCGAATCATGCACTGTTCCTTCGTTGGCCAGAGGAGAACTGGCCCCCCGACTGAGTCTGGTTTCTCCCAAGGTTTTTTTCTCCATTCTGTCACCTGATGGAGTTTTGGTTCCTTGCCACTGTTGCCTTGGCTTTTGGCTTGCTTAGTTGGGGACATTTAACATTTAATATTCAATAATATTATTGATCTGCCTTACTTAAGGTGGACGTTGACGCAATTTCTTTTAGAAACAAACTTTGTTATATTGTTATATTGTTTTTGTTATATTGTTTTCATGTTATCACTGTGAAGCGCTTTGATACAATCTGTATTGTAAAAAGCGCTATATAAATAAAGGTGACTTGACTTGACTTGACTTGAATTTTGTCATTGAGGATTTCTGAAAAATTGTGCAAAAATCTCATCTTGTCTCGTTCTTGTGAACCCAATCTTGTGTCTCGTCTCGTCTCATGAGATAAGCGTCTCGTCACACCCCTAGCTGAGAGTGACGTTCACAGACAGCAGACAAACGGCTAGCAGTGACAGCAGCCGCAATCCACCTGTCACTCCAGTGACCATGCCCTTAATTATGCAGGCTTAATATAATTTAAACGGATGAATTGTAAAAAAATTCACCCCCCTCACAGTTGTCATGAAGGGCAAAATAAGCTATAAAGACCAAAACCACTTTTTGCTCCAGGCTGTAAACATGTTTTTTTCTGCTGTAAAGTTGGGCATTTTAACATGGGGGAGATGCAGATTTGACTCACTTTTGCAGCCTGCCTCAAGCGGTCAGTAGATGAATTGCAGTTTAATTCACTTCCGTGTTGGTTTCAAGAGAGTGACAGGGAGGTTGCCGCTTGATGTTAACGCGCGACGCGGTTATCTTTTCCGATAAACAGACACCGTTGTCGTTTGTCGTTTATTAAACATAATAAATCAACTCACATCAACTTATCTTTAGCCTACTGTTCTTTGCTGACATCAAACTTGGAGAGGAGAGCACACAAGTCTACCGGATAACTGTTGCCGCAATTAACTGAATGGTGTTTTTTTTTTTTTTTTTTTTTTTCGTGACCAGAAGGATAGTTCCGCTTCCTTTTCTCATCGATATTGTAAACATTGATTGACGCGCATTGACACGAGGGGGAGTCGGGGCCTTGAGTAATTTGCGCGGCCCTGAACACAACACAGTATATTACCAGTCGTAGTGTCCATGGTTGTAGTTTCTGTTGTTGTAGTTTCGGTTGTGGTAGTGGTAGTGTTTATGTTGCTTGAATCTGAAATAAGTGATAAATATTAGATATAAAAAAAAAAAAAATTATCTCTTACATAAACGAAGGGCACATGTAAATATATTTACCTGCACAGTAAGCCAAACTGCAGCCAGTTGGGCTCACAAACTCATAGACATAATAATCTCCTGGACAGGCTTTGACTTTAATGGGATTGGATTGGAAATAGCAGCAGTTATTGCTCCAGTGACCGCAGACATCTCGAGTGACCACTCCATCCTCAACTGTTGGATGTCCTCCGTTCAGCCACAGAGGAGCATGAGTGCCACAACTATACTCATCAACACATGTGTCTGGCATCTGAACGCTCTGACCCTGAATGAAGAGACGGTACCAGCCGTTCCAGCTGACCACAGTGTCACACATTATTTGAGAGGAATGTTGATTGTTGGTGGCTCTCCATGAATCATCCAGGATATTGTAGTTGTAGCAGGGGTCAACAGGGGGAGCTGTTGTCATGGAAATATTAAAAATATATATTTTGAGGAATGAATAAATAAATGTTTTTTGATGTGTATTTTTTGTAGTGGTTATGTTATGAAACAGTTTACACTGTTTACTTAAGCTCACTGTTTCATTTGCATTTTAAGTTGAAGCTGAAGACAATTTGTCGTAAGCACTAGCCTGGGTTTCCCCATACTGCATTTGCGCAGCGCGATTTTATTCACACTGCTAGGAAGTCTGGATACCATGGACCAAATTTTCGCCTCAGCGAGGGGACCAATCACAGAACGGGGAGGGAGCAGCAAGATGATGACGACGTCTATGCGACACACCGAAGCAGTTTGTTTATACCTATGGATCCAACATGGCAGCAGACGCGAAGTTACCTTTCGATGCAGCCTTAGATCTTGTTCTAAGTAGTTTAGAACGCAAATAAATCTCCGACCCATCGTCTTCTTCCTCGTCTAATTTCTGTCGCTCTACATACGTCATCTGGTATAATTGAAACGATTGGCTATGAGCACAATCTCATTGTCAATGAGATGTGGTCTGACGTTAGCCAGGCTAATTGAGCACAAGTATTGCAAGCAAATTGACTTTAAGAAGTCAGTGCTTTCGAAACACTCTTTGCCACTTATATGCAAAAACATTATTCTTACGTGGTGCTGGTGGTCTGCACAGACTGTCGATTGAAAATTAGAATTTTGTTTGTTCTTTCAACTTTAAAACGTCTTAATTTTAGAACTGACACTGCCCCCATTAAAACAGTTTTTTCAGGGGGTCCAAAAATCTCACCAAATACCATGAGTGACATTAAGGCAAAGAACAACAATATACTATGAAACTGTGTGAATGAATAAAAGGATATCAAATTACACTCTGATTCATATATATATATATATATATATATATATAAGAATCAGTGTAATTTGATCTAGTTAAAATCTAGGATCTCTGCCAAATGCATAAATGTAAAATGCTATCAAATATATATATATATTTGATAGCCTTTTATACATTGATACAGTTTTATAGTATATTGTTGTTCTTTGCATCAATATCATTTACTATGTTTTTTCAGTTATTTTAGACAGATATAATCCAGATATAATAATATATAAATATTTGTCTGTATATGTCAGTGTCTGGTTCATGTTCCCTGGTGTCCACTAGAGGTCCTCTTTCCCCAAGGTGTCATTCACGTTTGGAACTGCATTCCCCACAATCCTTGTCTGTGCTCATCACTGTTCATTGCACTCAGCTGTTCCCCATCATGATTGTCTTGTTCTGTGTATAAATACCCTGCCTGTTTAGTGTTTGTTACGGAGTCCTTGTATATTGTCACACCACTTCTGGTAGCCTGTTTTTGCCTGTTCTTGTTTGGTTTCTTGTTTTTGGATTGCCTTTTGGATTTGACCCTTGCCTGGACTAGTTTGTGCGTACGGATTACCCTTTATATAAAACTGCAATTGGATCTCTGTTTCCCGTGTGTGGATCGTGACAGAAGGACTCCGTCACAAAGAGATCCGGCATTATGGGGTTCCGTATCCTCCCTCCTACCACGGAGAAAGAGAGGATGGGCCGTGTCCAAAATTTGATGAGCTTTCGTCAGCAATGCGTGCCGGTGGGTTGCATAGCTCAGTCATTTTGGACGCTCTTGAGGGGAATGGGATACAGTGAGGCAGCATTAAAAGACATTTTTAATACCTGTCTTGATGATCCATTGCCAGGGTGGGAAATGAAGGGTCTGGAAGTCTTGGACTTTTGGAATTTTACCAGATACCTTGAGCATCGGAGTCAATGGGATGTATTGGAGCCTCGCCATGCCGACGCCGTCACCAGTCCGGTGGTCCCAGTTCCGGTGGTCCCGAGTCTGGTGGTCCCGAGTCTGGTGGTCCCGAGTCTGGTGGTCCGGTGGTCCCGAGTCAGGGGGTCCTGAGTCCGGTGGTCCGAAGGCGGAGGAGGAGGAAGAAAGAGACGTCTACCGTCACTTCTGCCGATTCAGAGACTGTTCACGCTCCGTCTGCCCAGCCAGAGACTGTTCACGCTCCGTCTGCCCAGCCAGAGACTGTTCACTTTCCGTCTGCCCAGCCAGAGACTGTTCACTTTCCGTCTGCCCAGCCAGAGACTGTTCACGTTCCGTCTGCCCAGTCAGAGACTGTTCACGTTCCGTCTGCCCAGTCAGAGACTGTTCACGTTCCGTCTGCCCAGTCAGAGACTGTTCACGCTCCGTCTGCCCAGCCAGAGACTGTTCACGTTCCGTCTGCCCAGTCAGAGACTGTTCACGTTCCGTTCACATTCCGTCTGCCCAGTCAGAGACTGTTCACGTTCCGTCTGCCCAGTCAGAGACTGTTCACGTTCCGTTCACGTTCCGTCTGCCCAGTCAGAGACTGTTCACGTTCCGTTCACGTTCCGTCTGCCCAGTCAGAGACTGTTCACGTTCCGTCTGCCCAGTCAGAGACTGTTCACGTTCCGTCTGCCCAGTCAGAGACTGTTCACGTTCCGTCTGCCTTCATGGACCTGGACTATCTGGAGTGTCTGGCTCGGATCCTGGACATGCCCGTGCTGCTATTCCGGAGCCGGAGCCGGTGCCCGTTCCTGAGCCGGTGCCCGTTCCTGAGCCGGTGCCCGTTCCTGAGCCGGTGCCCGTTCCTGAGCCGGTGCCGGTTCCTGAGCCGGAGCCGGTGCCCGTTCCTGAGCCGGAGCCGGTGCCCGTTCCTGAGCCGGAGCCGGTACCCGTTCCTGAGCCGGTGCCCGTTCCTGAGCCGGTGCCCGTTCCTGAGCCGGAGCCCGTTCCTGAGCCGGAGCCCGTTCCTGAGCCGGAGCCCGTTCCTGAGCCGGAGCCCGTTCCTGAGCCGGAGCCCGTTCCTGAGCCGCAGCCCGTTCCTGAGCCGGAGCCGCAGCCCGTTCCTGAGCCGGAGCCGGTGTCCGTTCCTGAGACGGAGCCGGTGTCCGTCCCTGAGACGGAGCCGGTGTCCGTTCCTGTTCCTGAGCCGGAGCCGGTGTCCGTTCCTGTTCCTGAGCCGGTGTCCGTGCCTGTTCCTGAGCCCTGGCCGCCCGAGGGTTCTTCGCCCCCCTGGCCGCCCGAGGGTTCTTCGCCGCCCTGGCCGCCCGAGGGTTCTTCGCCGCCCTGGCCGCCCGAGGGTTCTTCGCCGCCCTGGCCGCCCGAGGGTTCTTCGCCGCCCTGGCCGCCCGAGGGTTCTTCGCCGCCCTGGCCGCCCGAGGGTTCTTCGCCGCCCTGGCCGCCCGAGGGTTCTTCGCCGCCCTGGCCGCCCGAGGGTTCTTCGCCGCCCTGGCCGCCCCAGGGTTCTTCGCCGCCCTGGCCGCCCCAGGGGTCTTCGCCGCCCTGGCCGCCCGAGGGATCTTCGCCGCCCTGGCCGCCCGAGGGGTCGCCCGCTTCGCCCTGGCCACCCGATGGACTGTCCGCTTCGCCCGGGCATCCGGATGAACTGTCCGCTTCGCCCTGGTTGCCGGCTAAATCGTTATTTCCCGTTTTTGTTCCCCTACATGGACCTGGCCCACAATCCCTCCCCCTGATCCTCCGCCATTCCACCTCCCTCCTGAACTCTTGTGTTGTGTGTTAGTTGTCTTGGAGCGTCTGGTAGCCGCTCCGTAGAGGGGGGGTCATGTCACAGTGTCTGGTTTATGTTCCCTGGTGTCCACTAGTGGTCCTCTTTCCCCACAGTGTCATTCACGTTTGGAACTGCATTCCCCACAATCCTTGTCTGCGCTCATCACTGTTCATTGCACCCAGCTGTTCCCCATTATGATTGTCTTGTTCTGTGTATAAATACCCTGCCTGTTTAGTGTTTGTTACGGAGTCCTTGTATATTGTCACGCCACTTCTGATAGCCTGTTTTTGCCTGTTCTTGTTTGTTTTCTTGTTTTTGGATTGCCTTTTGGATTTGACCCTTGCCTGGACTAGTTTGTGAGTACGGATTACCCTTTAAATAAAACTGCAATTGGATCTCTGTTTCTCGTGTGCGGATCGTGACAGTATATGCAGTAATTTCCCTCTTTCTAATGGTAGGGGTATGCGAACAGGGGTTATGAACTGAGTTTGAGAAACACTGGTGGTTTAGATTTCACTGTTAACAAAGTTTCAGTACTTCACTTTGTCTAAAAATGCATTCTGTTCACATTCAAATATAGAGAGTTTGGATTGCATAATCATTTGTGAGCTGTATTGCTTTTTACTAATGTAATTTGTGTAAATATTTTCTGCAGAAATTAATTTAGCTATGAATTTACTTAATGTGATTAACAGGAACATTTCAAGAGATCATGTTTAATAAAAATACATGTCCAAAAATATGTTGAAGAGAGTTCATGAAGGAAGCAAGACAATACTTTACCAGTGGTTGTGATTGGTGGAGTAATGGATTCTATGGATGGGATCGTCTCTGTTGTTGATGAGATGGACTGGTTTGAGGCATCTGGTATTAGGAACATTTTATATTAACAACCATCATTTCATTTCAATTCAAACTAAATCCAGAAAAGTAAATGGCTGAAGATCAAGTGTAAGTGCTCACCAACACAGTAAGCTCCACAAACCATTGGCTTGACAAACTCATAAACATAGTAATTTCCTGGACAGGCTTTGACTCTTATAGGGTGGGATTTGTAAGTACAGCAGCCGTTCCATGAGGAGACACAGACCTGACGGGTGACCACTCCATCATCCAGCTGTGGGTGAGGCCCGTTGAGCACCAGTGGGTAATAAGTGCCACACATGTACCGATTTACACATGATTCTGACATCTGAGTATTTTGACCATTGTAGAACATCCTGTACCAGCCATTCCACTCCACATTATAATCACACATGCCATAGTAGTTATAGTTATTATAGTAATAGTTGTCTGTGGATCTCCAAGGCTCATCCAGACTGGTATAGCTGTAGCAGGGGTCGACACTTGTAGTGGAAAAAGGCACTATTAAGGAAAAAATAGAAAGAGAGCATTATATATTGCAGATTAAATATATTCAAATTAATAATATGAATATAAATCAATAAAATTCATGACAAGCATGTCAGATATAAAGATGAATGAATGTACCTGCACAATATACAGGATCTGGGATTGAAAGAGTTGGTCTGGTAAATTTGTAGACATAATAATTTCCAGGACAAGCTTTGACTTGGATTGGGTCGGATCTGTAGCGACTGCACTGATCATTACGGGAGCCGTAAACTTCACGAGTAACAACTCCATCTTCTAGCTGAGGATGAGAGCCATCAAGCCACAGAGAACTATAACCTCCACATGACATATGATAAAAACACCACTCGGGCATCTGAGCACTTGATCCATTAATGAAGAGTCGATACCAGCCGTCCCATTCTACACGAGTGTCATCTTGATCAGATATGTATCCATACATAGACCAGTAATTGAGTGTGCTTCTCCAGTAGTTGTCAAGTGTGTTGTAGTTATTACACGGGTCATAATCTGTTAGAGAGATGAGACCAAAACAAACAAGTTATATTTCATAAACCATTCATACAAAATGTGACTGTGTAATAGTGAAAATGTTTATGCACCAAAAAATCCGTTTAAACTGTAATGCAAACCTTTAATTGAAAAGAAATAAATGATCTTTAATAACACTCAAATATTAATATTATTTACAACTTACTCAAGTTGATGGTGGATCCAGTGAATATATCTGGACTCACAGTGGAAACTGCCTGTGAAATAGTGCTGACATCTAAAAAGAGGGACATTCATATCATGACAGAAATCATTTACAAAATGGTTTGAAATACTTAAATAAATGAGAAAAATCACAGTACCTGTGCAGTATCCAGAGCACCCAATTTGTGGATTCACTAGTTCATAGACATAGTAATTGCCTGGACACGCTTTCACTCTGATGGGGTTTGTCTTGTAATCACAGCAGCTTCCCCAATAAGACCCTCCACAGACCTCCCTGATCACCACTCCATCCCAGGGACGGACTGGGGCTAAAAAACAGCCCTGGACTTTCTCCCAAATAGGCCCATCATCCAGCCATTCGCCCCTAGCCACTAGGATGTCCTGATACTATGCCACAATACTGTAACTTATATCAGACAAGGTATTCACAGCAAGTAATATCTCAAAAATAATGATGACAATTGGGGTTTTGTTTATTAATGAAGCCTCAGTCTTCAAATAAAAAACAACAAAATGTACAATGCCATTACATCTGCATTGAAAATAAAATACAAATAATGAAATGTCACTGGCTACAGAAACCCTAATTACACAAACTTGTAATTATAAAACATATAGTTACTATATACCAGGGGTCTCCAACCTTTTTGTGTGCGAGGGCTAAAGGGATAAAATAATCTAGAAGGGCTATACTCAAACATATTTATTATACATATAACATGGTGGTGTTTTTTTTACCTTACCTTTACCTTTACTTTTAACTTTAACTTTTTTACTTTTCACCATTATATGCGAAATAATAAAATATCTTGATATTCTGGTTCAACAATTCCTGAAAAAATTGTAATATATATATATATTATTCTCTAAAAACCTATTGTAGCATAAACATTTAGTATAAATATTTAATGCAAAATAAATAAATAAACTGCCATAACTTCTAAACAAAAACATTACTGCATTACATTTAATAGCCTACACTTATAGGCCTACATGACTATTAATATAACAGCATTTTTAATATGAATACAGGCACATTTCTGCCAAAAAATTTGTTTTACTAAGTTACAGTTAATTCATAAGTTGTGGAGTGAAATGTCTTCTAACTGGTTTGTTCTTGGAACAATGTTTCACCTGTTTTTTTGCATCAAGATGTTGAGAATATCAGCGCTGTTTAATCTGGCTTTTAACTAGCATAAATCACAGCCATCTGTGGGTTTATAATAGAGATAGAGAATTCTGCACTGAATTGAAATGCTTCTCAGTGGATCGCGCAACTCTGTGTAATAACGTTCGCGTGATCGAGATCAGTCCGCACAGCTGCTTCGGCCGCGATCGCAGTTTTTTGGGCCGAGCTGATAATGCTCGGCGCTGGCATCCAATTTAAAGGTGCATTGCTGCCACCTACAGTACTGGAGTGTGAAACAGATTAGTGGGGGGAAAAAACAGGTTATGACTGCGTGTGTGGCGGGTGGTGGGCCGGCCCGCCGGCCGTCCTGGAGTACCGGCCGTTCTGTGATACTCCAGATCACACAGATGGCCAGTCCGCCCCTGCTCCATCCTCTATCTGAGGGTGAGTATCATTGAGCCACAGATTGAGGTATGTGTTACAGGTGTATGAACTGATACAGGTCTCTGACATCCGGATGTCCATTCCATAGTAGACAAGCCGGTACCAGCCATTCCAGGAGAACATGTTATCACAAATGTCACCTCCACTTTCATTGTTGGCTCTCCAGGGACGATCCAGAGACTCATAGTTGTAGCAGGGATCACTGCTGATGCTTTGGAAAGCAACTGTCATGGAGTTTGCAAAAGTACTGTTAAAATGTATTACATCCTAAAGAGCATAAGAGTTTTATACCATATGACCAGTTATGATGGTTAATTACATAATTTCGAGCAATTATATTCTAATCAGTGGTGTACTGTCTGTCAGGCTAAAGTGGGGCAAGTCTGTCTGACAGAACCCTGCAGAACGGGGCAGAGCAACACCTGAGGAGGGGCTACATATGACAAAAACTGTGCTAATAAGTTTTAATCTGAGAAAAAAAATTAACTTCAGGCACAAGAGGACTGTGGAGTAATATCACAATGTTTTCATATACATTTTTAGTTTACATATTAATTAGTGAACAAATCGCCTAAAGTGTGATTTGAGGAATTGTGTAACTAAGAGATCTAGGTGCTATTAATCTGTAACATAACCTACTATACAGAATGGATAATGAACTGCACACCACTGATTCTAACTAGTTAAAACATACTTATTTCTTAAAACAAAAGATGTATGTTAAATGATCTAAAGGTTAGATCATTTACACTTTATACTGACATAAAAATCCTAAAGATAAGATTTAATATTGTACCTGCACAGTACATCGGCCCTGGAGCTGATATGACGGGTTCGACAAATACATAGACGTAATAATCTCCTGGACAGGCTTTGACTCGGATGGATGAGGAACTGTAGGCGCCACACTCACTGGAATATCCCCACCACCAATACCATGAACTAGTTCCCAGGACTTCACGGGTCACCACTCCATCCTCAAGTGTTGGATGAGAACCGCTGAGATACAGTCCAGTTTCTCCACCACATCCAGCATAACTCACACACCACTCAGACATCTGGGCACTTTCTCCATTCAGATACAGCCGATACCAGCCACTCCATTCAACAAGAGTGTCATCATATCCATAGTAATGATCTGGGCTTTGCCGTATGTCTCTCCAATATTCATCAAGTGTGTTATAATCATAGCATGGATCAGTTGTAGGTTCTGAGAGAATAAAGAGAAAAGAGAATAAAGAGAAAAGATGCATTCACTGAGGTGGCAAACACAAGAGTTCAGGTAAACATACTACAGTTTTGACAAGATCGACTGCGTACAATATGCATTGGATTGGATGAATAACCTGTTTAGTAAATAATTGTGTAGTATAACTATTTTTCTGCTTATCTCAACACACGCAAATACTGCAAGTCAGAACCAATCAATCACAGAGAGTCACACACTGCCGACAATGCGTTCAAACAGGGCTGCGTTTCCCAAAAGTAAGCCATTGATTGGCCCCATAGACAGTAAAAGAAATGGACAGAGCGACCCCATTGATTTCAACGGAGAAGACTGAAGCCTGATTATTGCACTTCCTGACTGATGTCTGAGCGACTGCGAAGGCTCAAACTGAGCTTGACATCAGTCTGACAGTTGTACATTTTCTAGTAGCTGTGCCAAGACAAATCTGAATCACCTAATTCCTCAAAAACGTTGAAATATTTTGTCCCGTTGCTTTGATGGACTCTCTATCTATTGGCTTCTTCCTTGACTTTATGCCTTCATGTCCCCCTGATTGCCTCATAGACAGTAAAAGATTGCCTGCGAGCTTCTCCTCCTATCTATACGGTAATGTCTCTATTGTGCGACAGAAAGTTGCGTGGTTATGACGCAATCGTTAGCCTATTTTTATAAAAACGGCTTCTACGGGGCCGTAACGTAAGATACAAAGTAATGGATCCTTTAATACATTGTCGTGTTTCTTTAGAAATAAAAAATGGACAAATTAAGTCTTTGGACGCCTCAGATGTAAAGTTATTCGCTGTCAAAGTGACGCCAAAATGAATGGGAGTCAATGGAATGCTAGCAACAGGTGAAGTTCTGCTATAATGGCGGCTCCCACGAGGCTTCAACTTCCGGCTGATGGATTACACCCTTGATTGGCCCTGAACAATGCTTAACAGAAGACAGAAAAACATCATATGTTTGAGCTATTTCACAATAAACTAATTTAAATTGTAGCCTACAGAGTTTGTGCAAATAAATTCTTTTTTGAATGTTAAAAGTGCATAGTTCTATTCTGTAACTAATTGTAATTTAAATCATCCACTGTCAGAACAAAAAGGTTGCATTTTATGGGTGCAACAGCCAGTCACTGGCAGTCCCTTATGAAAATTAACATTACAGTGATCGTAGTTCAACTATAACATTTTGTAGATTTACATGGTTACCACTACAACATTGTAACCACGTGTAAATAAAAATATAATCTAATAAATTCCAATTAAGGCATATTGAATGTTAAAATGCCTTTAAAATATAATGTTAAGTCGGTATTTACCCATTTTAATCTTAGTAATTCAATAATTTGAGAAATTTTGAAATTTAAAAGTTTAGTTTAGATGTTTTGATTGATTAGCCTTTATTGTCTCCTGACGGAGAAATTCATCTTGGGCATTCGAGATAGCAGATGCAACACAATATACATAACACATAACATAATTACCTACACATAATTCACCACCTTAAAACTAACCCACACACCCTATTTGTTGTTGTTCAATAATTTTATAGAGAGTGGTACAAATGAAAATTTAAACTTATTCAGTCTGCAGTTTGGTAACCTGTACCTTCTACCTGAGGGCAACATCTCATACTCACTATAGAGCACATGATTCGGATCGTTAGTGATTTTTAAACTCTGTTTCCTCACCGCCTCTTCAAAAAGCTCATTAAGAGTAGTCGGTGACACTTGTCCAATTATTTTACCCGCCCTTTTGATCAATGTTTGAAGCTGTGATTTTAGTTTAACTGACAGGTTACCAAACCAGGCTACAATACCATATCGGACAATAGACTCAATAGCTGCCTTATAAAACAGTAACATAATATCCTTGTATGTATCGATATCGGAGATACTGGCCTTGAAAGTATCGGTGTCGTAGGCTATCGAAAAACAAAATAGAGTGCCGAAGTTATGACGTCACTTTGTAGGACAACTCGGAAGCTAGCGGCGCATGGGTTCCCTCGATCGAAAAGCTATGCATTTTCCCCATAGACTTTTGGAAAATCGCAAACAATAAGACCTGTGTTCAACAAAGAGTTGTGACCCTTACACGTTTTGTCTATCAAGATAATCTTTACAAGTTAATCCAAAATGTATACATTTTGAAGCCTATAAAGTTAAAAAAAAAACAAGCAGACACAATAAAGTTTAAAAACCACAAAGTAGGTTTTGCTATTAAAACCCATTCAAAAACCGGGAACCGGAAGTGCTAAAATGCTAACTCACTTCCGCGTTTTGGCCTACAAAATGACGTCATAACTTCGGCACTCGTATCGCCCATCCCTACTCCAAAAGTGATTCCCGCCAGCTAGTCTGCTAGCTGGCTGCAAACTGCGGAATGGAATTCCTGAACGGAGGTGCGGCTCAATTAGACACAGAGTTATGAGACCGTATGAGAAACGCCTCCGCTTAGCAAATCCATTCCGCAGTTTGCATCCAGCTAGCAGGAAAGCATTGAGCAGCATTATATCCGCTGTGTGGAAATACTTCACACTGGAAACACCACAGAGCAAGATAGCAAAATGCAATGTTTGTTGAGCCGTAATTCAGAGATGTGGAAGCTCCCTCGCGTCGGTCAACACAACGAACGCAATCAAACATTTAAAAAAGCACCACGTTAAAGAGCACAAGGATTTTTTAGCCAGGGGGCAGAAAGACAACGGGAGCCATTTTATTGACAGAGAGTGTGTGTGTGTTAATGGTGCAGTGTGTAGATTTTAGCGGCATCTAGCGGTTCGGTTGCGAGTTGCACTAAGGGCTCATGCCACTGCTCACCCCTCCCTTTTGAAGAAGCTACGGTGGCTAAAACGGGACAAACATATCGTCGTCTGAGACAGCAGAGAATAGCCAGAGTAAGCCAAGAGTGTGTAACATTGTCACTGTTTCTATTCCTTTATCACATCATGGATAAAGTTTACAAAGTCATAGTCAGGTGAGGATCAAGGGTCTTAATATAATAATAGATTTCCATTACACGAGAGCAGATGTTAAAACTTCATGCTGATTTGTACTCAGCTTTCGCCAAGATAAGCAACACTAAGACGTAGATTTACAGTAAACTATGCTTCACCCATTTACGCTTCTTTCCATATGGTGGTGTGACTCCCCTTCTGTCCGGCGTTAACGGCTGCAGGGTACTTGGCGCGTCAGCACACACGACGGCTGCAACTACAGTGTGGTCTCCCTAGTGGACCAGCACGACAACCATCTGGATTAAGCCAAGTAGGGGACATCTCTAGGGTCTTCAAGTGGGCACCTTCCGTCCTCAGTGTTTCGTCGACTAGCCCACGACACCTCAAGAGGGCTCGACAGTGACTCTGGCGTCCCAGAGTCACCCCCCTCCGTCCCCCACTCAACTCAGCCCAGCTTACTGACCTCTACATCCCTCCTGCTGCTGAGACCTAACCACAATCTCACAATCTCTCCGCAACCCAACCATACGCGCTAACCCCTTTGACTGAGGCTGTCGAGCCCCACTGGTGTGTTAATATGCAGTTTCAGTGGCGACGGTTCCGTATGGCATTCCACCTACCGCAAAAACACAATATCTGCCCAACCACCCGTCAGTCACGCAATATACACAGGAACGTAATGACTGTAAATACTATACAACCTATACAAATAACCAACAGACTCTTCAAGTTTTCAAGAATTCTACGAAACCGTAGCGTGGCGGCCTGTACACAGCCAGCTAGAATCTTTCCGTCTTAACCACAGCCAGTTGCTGCTCCTCTCTGCTGCTTCAGATAAGTTCTTTACTGTGCGACGCAACTCTTGGCCACTGAATCCGATGTCTCTGAGGAACCGGGTTGTAGAGTGTGCCACAAAACCTCGACAACCCACTTCCACTGGATAAACCTGGACACTCCATCCTCGCTGTTCTGCTTCAGTGGCCAGATGAGCATACCGCAGTTTCTTCCTCTCATATGCCTCATCTACCGCATCCTCCCATGGCACTGTTAACTCTATCAGTTGAACAATGCGTGCTGATCCAGTAATCAGCTGATTGTCTCACAAACGTAACCAGCACATTTCTCCCCACATAGCAAACCCATAATACAGCGAGGGAGAAGAACCACATGAAACTATGCAACTATATATTTTTTCTAACAGGGTAGTAAAAGTTTAGCTGGCTAATAGGAGCTGTTACTGTGGCTGAGCTGGTTAAAGCGTAAAGCATTGTTTAAACTCGACACGTCCGCATGAGCGCAAAGGTGCAAGCAGCAAAAATTACATGATTGTAACAGCGTACACGCCTCCGCATCCCCTAGCCACCATTTACTACACACAAATTAATAAATAATAATGAATAAAAATATTAGGGTTTTTTTTCTCTGGTTTTGAAAACTCTTCGATGGGTTGGTGACTCCTGTAACGTTACTGTTTTACTGTCAATAGTACTAACCAACTGATTGTCAAAGCCATAACACAGCGAGGGAGAAGAACTAAGTTACATGAAACAATCCAACTATATATTTACACCACTGACAAGGGAAAAGTCACTACTCACGGTGTCTATGGCTAGCTTCTAGCTTTCTGCGGCTTCTCTTTCAAGGTATGAACGTAACCCGCTCTGTAGTGCTGTGTGTTCGCTGTCGGCTACGGTAGAAACATGATGTCACAATATGGCGACCTTCATAGAAGGGGGTGCCCGCGGTTATGTAGATATAAATGTCTCATTTTAAAGTAATAAAAACATAACGGTTCATTGAGTAAGGTCTTTATACACCACTGAACACATTGTTATGGATCTTATATTGCATTTCTGTCAATAGATCCTCAGAAATATCACACATTGCACCTTTAAGGTCCTTGCACACTGAGTCCGAAATTCGCGTCCAAAATTTTCGCACGTTAAAAAATAAATACAACCTCACGTTATGTCAATCACGCTTGCACACTGCCTCCCAAACTTTCGTCCGTCATAAAAAAAAAATCGCATCGGGTTCGATTTTCTGCGTTTTTCGCATCCATAGCAAGCAGTTTGAATGGTGTTTTGACAATTCAGAATCACGAATACAAAAAAACTCACGCAAAATTTTAAAAAGGGCCTTAAGATGTTTACAGTTATTGCACTTTTCTTATATTTCTAATATTTGACATTTTAAAACCTTGATTTGTTGATGCTACAAGAGCCAGTGTACTTGATTTGTGCTGTTCAGATGCACACTGTTTTATTGATAGTGTGTGTGTGTGTGTGTGTGTGTGTGTGTGTGTGTGTGTGTGTGTGTGTGTGTGTGTGTGTGTGTGTGTGTGTGTGTGTGTGTGTGTGTGTGTGTGTGTGTGTGTGTGTGTGTGTGCGTGTGTGTGTGTGTGTGTGTGTGTGTGTAAGATGTTTACACTTGCACTTCTCTTATATTTCAAGTCTCAAGTATTTGACATTTTGGGAATGGAATTAATATTGACATGACAATCAATTTGAAACCCTTACAGTTGCATATTTGTTTTCAGAATGGGATTTTTTCCTGTTAACAGGATTTCCTGTTTTTCTGACTTCCTTTTCTGACCTTATACTTGCCTAAAGTTGCCTTTTGGGACATACATGCATACATATCATACTTGCCTGTTGAGAGGAGTTTATTTCAGCATCATATAAAATCAACAATAATGATAATAATAATATTAAAGCAAACACAGCTCTGGTATCGGTATAGAATCGGTATCGGCCGAAATCCAAATTCAGGTATCGGGATCGGATCGGAAGTGAAAAAACCTCTGGGGACCTCCCAGAAAAAGTCTTAAATACCATCACTGAGGCTAGAGCACCGTCTAAAAGACCCCTCTATGCTCTGAAATGGTCAGTATTCGCTGGCTGGTGCTCATAAAAGTTGCAAAATAAAATGCAACTGTAACACATGGCATTTTATATTTAATTTCCCTTATACCAATAGCATTATATCATAGGTTTTATATGGCATATTAAGCCTCCTAAATAAATACATAATCTTCCAGAATAATATAGCCCATTTTATTACCAGTTGTTATGTCTGTGGTTGTAGTTTCCGTGGTTACGATTGTGGTTGTCTCTGGTATAACAGTAGTACTTTCAACTAAGATAAAAAAAAAAAAAGAATAGACTATTACATAAAAAACAACTCTTACATATACAGAGGACACATGTAAATATATTTCCCTGCACAGGTGAGATAAACATATGAAACAAAGTCACAATTGTGAGATATAAAGATTGTCAGACATTTATTTATTTAATGCATTTAGATGGAAATGGCATGAGTGTGTTGCGAGGGATTTGTTTCGCTATAATGACTGAACGCAAAACAAGCAAGTGTTTGAGATTTTTGCAGTTTAAACAATTTCACAAATTCCCAACATATTGTGCCTGGCTTGGGGGTTTTGTCTCAAAACTTGTATGCGTTACAATAGAACTGCAGTGTACATTAAATAAATAAATAAAGTTTTAAAAAAATTATTTTAATATATATATATATGTATATATATATACTGTATACATATATATATATATATATATATATATATATATATATATATATATATATATATATATATATATATATATATATATATATATATATATATATATAATGAGTAATAATCTCATGTGACTCCAAATAAACTTTTTTTCTTTTGGAGTCTCCTGTGAAATTCAATGTGTAAGAAAGTGCTAAAACATGAGAAGGTTTTAAATCAATACGAAAACTCGTTTATGAATTATTTCTACTACATTTATTTCAACATTTGTAATGAAAAACAAAGGATGAATTGGATGAAGTGAAAGAATGATTGTACCTGTTGTTTGTCCATTGGTTATTTCACCTGTTTAATACACAATATAAGCATAATTGTTTATTATTGTGAAAAAAATCACTAATTATATATGATCATAATACACTCACCATTAATCAGCAGCAGCGACACACACAGTGAGATCAGAAACCTCATTGTGTCGAACAGCACCTGCACACACAACATACACACACATGAAATAATGTTTCTTACATTTTGTTATATTTTATTCTTTCTTTGATGTGCACATTTTAAATATTTAGAAAACTGGGATAAAACAGAAGTAACTTTACCTGAGGTCAGATCGGCTGCAGAGCAATCTCAGATTGATGACTGGTCTATGAGATTCTCTCTTCAGTAGTTCAACACAGTGATGCTGAACTGCAGATCTCACAATCTCATCAGTGCCTTTAATACCTGTAGGTGGACCTTTACTGGAACTAGTTGAAATTTCTCAACATTAGCTTAAACCAGTTTTTTCATGTGACATTGAGATATTTGTTATTTGAACTGACAGTTTCCTTGTGAACACCTGCATTCAGAAAGACATTCTTTCACTCTGGGCTTAAATAGATGTGAAGATGGAATGACGACGGGCCAGTTTGATTTGTTTAGCACTTTTTCCAAAAGCAAATGTACACAAATAGTACCTTAAAACAAACAGTGAGTGACCCAAAGGTCAATGGAAAGATTCATGTTAATTTAACCCTCTGGGGTCTGAGGTGTTTTTGGGGCCCTTGAGATGTTTTGACATGCCCTGACATTTGTGCTTATTTCAGCTACTAAAAACATACCATTTGCCAACATATAAATTTGCTGTATTCAGCACAAACTCTGCTACAATAATATGTGAGCAAAATGGATGTACATGTTTGCATTTTATAGAAAAAAAATATTATGCGTGGTTAGTACGTTTTGGGGAAAAAATGTCACCGCAATAAGGCCATTTAACACATACTGAATAATTGTCCACAAGACTTTTGAGTTACTATTCTTGTAGGCTAGAATTTTTACTTCAAAATGAAGTGAAAATCATTCTGACCACTCTTTCACAAACAACAATATAATGATTTAAATTTCTTACGTCAGTTTTTGGTCAGCACTGCTGTATGTGTGGAGTGTTAATGACCATGAATATTAATGTGATTTACACCTGGGTGGGAAGACTAAAGACACTCCCCCAATGGCCCATCAAGGTGCTGTGAGCAGGGGCGGATCTACAGGGGGGCAAGGGGGGGCAGGTGCCCCCCCACTCTAGAGCCTGCCCCCCCCCCCAGCTGCCCCCCTAACTTTGATGATCCAAAAACTGTCCTTGTAAAAACAACCCGCAAGCTTCTCAAAACAGTGAACTAAACGATACATTTACCAAAATTGAACAATTTAATTTTTATTAAAGCCCCTCCCCCTGCCCCTCAAATACTTAGTGCGTCCCTGATTCAAACGTGCAGAGCGGCGTTCGCTCAGTCTGGCTCACACACACAGCGAGTCTGCTGCGGTGCACTGGCCCTGCAACCCGACTGGAGAGACTGAGCTGCCCCAGAGCCTCTGAAGGCGAAGTGAGTTTCCCCAGGTGTAGTTAAACACACGTTTAACTTAAAGTTACATTTGTAATGAATGTATTGTATGCTAAAGACGATTCAGCATCAGCAAAAACAGCGAGTCTATTACGTTAGCCAAAATCACCGGTCAAATCGCTCCCTCGTGATTTGTAAGAGCACTCTTCCCTTTGATTAGCCTATGATTTTAGTAAAGACAAGAACAGCTTAATAAAAAATTTAAATTGTTTGTATCCATATAACGTTTACTGATGGTCGCCGTTACGCCGACGTTACGTTACAACACACAATACAGTGCCAGTTAGGAGATCGATCATTTGATTAGCTAAGCAAATCCAATTCCTCTCAGATATCACAGCAATGAAACCAGGTTACAACTGGGGTTACAAATGACAAATACAATTAGGATTATTATATTAAGTAGTCTAAACAACTGGTCTGTGCGCATGTGATAAATCTTTCTGATTTTATAGGCTACTTATTAGCTACATGGCCCTACAGTGTAATGTAATACAAGTATAACCAGAGGTTTTCACATATTGACTTTTGCAGGCAAGAGTAGTTGAAGAAAGTAGCTGGACCCTAACCATTAAGGCTAAAAGTCCTTGGACACAACTATTGTACTTTTTTTATATACCCCCATTTGGTAACACTTTACTTGAAGGGGTGTACATAAGACTGACATGACACCTTCATAACCATGACATGACATATGTCATGAATATGAAGTAGGGTTTATGCATGTTTAAGACAACTGTCATTAAGTGTCTTTCGCTCAATAATGACATTTTGAATGCAAATATGACATTGTTTAAGATGTCTTTGTTATGACATCTTGACATAAACCATAACATCATAACCTGTCAGTGTCTTTGTCATGACAACTTGACATTAAATTAAGTTAAACTGTCATGTGGTTGGCTTTGACATTGGCTGTCATAAGGCCATTATAACTGTGTCATGAATATTTTTCGTGACCTCAACTACAGTGGTACAAATTGAATTTGTCATTAAACAGTTATAATGGCTTCATGACACCCAATGTCAAAACCAACCACCTGACAGTTTAATGTAATGTTAACCAGTAAAGCTAAGTGGTAGCTTAAGTTTGATAGTTAATCTGCTATGTCATGTTTATGACAGGTTGTGTTGTCTTAGTAATTTCAAGTTGTCATGGCAAAGACACTGACAGGCAGAGGTGGAAAGAGTAATAAAATATTCTACTCAAGTAAAAGTACAACAACTTCAATGAAATTTTACTTAAGTACAAGTAAAAGTACCGGTCTAAAAATCTACTCAAGTAAAAGTAAAAAGTAGCTCATTTAAAATTTACTCAGAGTAAAAGTTACTGAGTTACATTTTTAACAGCGGGGGTGGGGGACTCTCCCGTGTAGGCTTGTAATGGTATGAGATTTTCACAGTATGATAACGTCTCAGAAAATATCACGGTTTACAGTATTAATCAATTATTAAATAAATAAACTGTATTATTAAATTATGGGTATTATTATTATTATCATCAGTTAAAATGACAGTTAAATTAAAGGGTCACTTCAGGATTTAGCATTAAGCTTTGTATCAGTAGAAAACCAGTAGTATTTTCGAATTACCGTGCTTCCCCCCCTCATATCCCCCTGATATGAGAGATTTATGTATTTTTAGTCTGGAAAAAATCCTCAGATGACGCAAAAATCGTCATTTTGTTTCATCGGAGGATTTTTTGGCCAGAGGCTAAAGACTACAGCCAGTAGTAGGGGCTGTCCCGCATGTTCTCAACCCGCCCATAGAGGGTGGGATCTCACCAAGGGGGTAATCCATCAGCCGGAAGTTGAAGCTGCCTCCGGGGGCCGCCATTGTAGCTGGCTATCACCCGCTGTTAGCATCCCATTGACTCCCATTCATTTTGGCGTCACTTTGACAGCGAATAACTTTACATCTGAGGCGTCCAAAGACTCCATTTGTCCATTATTTATTTCTAAAGAAACACGACAATGAATAAAAGGCTCCATTACTTTGTATCTTACGTTATGGCCCCGTAGAAGCATAGGCTAATGTAAAAATAGGCTAACGATTGCGTCATAACCACGGGACGCTCTGTCGCACAGTAGAGAAATGACCGTGTAGACAGAAGTAGAAGCTCGTAGGCAATCGTTTACTGTCTATGAGGCAAACGTGTGGACATGGAGGCATAAAGTCAAGGGAGAAGCCCATAGATAGAGAGTTCATAAAAGCAACAGGACAAAATATTTCAACAACAGATTTGTTTCAGATTTCAATTCAGATTTGTTCCGGCACAGCTACTAGAAGGTCAGAATGGTTGCTCACATGACAACTACGTCGTCAAGCTCAGTTTGAGCCTGCGCAGAACGCTTGGGGAAGTGAGTGCCCATGTTGGGCTTCAACTCTCTCCGTTGAAATCAACGGGGTCTCTGTGTCCATTTCTTTTACTGTCTATGGATCTCACGGATCTCACTCACAGAATGTACACATAGTGTCAGCCATCTTTTTTTGGAAGCTAAGCTAGCAGGCTCTTGTTCTGTGGAGAAAGCTGAGTAGTAGGCTAGGGGTTACCATCCTCTTTTTCCCGGACGTCGAGATCGTCCAAAATGTCCGGGATTCAGCTTTTGCTTTCTGCAGTCGCCATTCATTGTTTACATGCTCACCTTTGGTTTCAATCTAACTGAATTCATTCCGATTGGTGAATCTGAATGTAGTGTTTACATGAACGCTAAACAAGTGATCGGTTGATGTGTGTTTTGACATTGCTAAGAAAATCCCCGCTCCTCCGTGAGAGATACGAGACCGGTGCTCTCACAGGTGTCGCTCATCGGTAATCACGCCACCGGCCTCGCGCCGCTCTCTCCCGCGGCCCTCACTCGTCCTGCTTGCCACAGTAAACATGATGAATGACGACTGTAGAACGCAAAAGCCAAATCCTGGACATTATAGGCGATCTCGAAAAACCCGGGCAGACTCATCACGGAGACTCTCACTAGTAGCCTAGACTTGTTGTTTAACATCTGCGCTCTGTTACCGTTAGGCGTGGCCTCCTAAGGCAGCGAAGCAATTGCATTCTGGGTGCCACAGTCCTCGTCTGCACCAGTCTGTCTTTGTGTCTGCACTACACTTCCCAGAATCCTCCTCTTCTCCACACCTGTATTCACTCCCTCACTTACCAGCCTGTCCCTCGTTATCATCATCAGTGTCACCTGTTTTCACCTTGTTATGTTTGAATCATGCTTGTATTTAGTTTGCTTCTGTTCAGTCTGTCCTTGTCGGTCGTTGTATATGTTACAGTGTTTGTGTTTGAGAGGAAACCTTCTTCCTGCCTGTATCTGTGCAAGTATTGGTTATATTGTAAGTAAAGTTTATTGAAATTGGATCTTTGACTTCAGCCTCTTCATCTGCCTGCACCACACCCGTGACACTGGGAGTACACATTCATCCTCCCAGAGGTGAAGTGCCCCTTTAAAGGATAATTCCGGTATTTAACACTTTGAGTCTATTTTCTAGTTTGTTTTGGATGAACTAGAGTGGTGGACTTAGAAATTTTGACGATGGGTCCTGTCTCGACTTTTTTAATATTTTAGAATCGCCTCTGAGCGCTTCAGAGTGGATGTCTATGGGCATGCTCAAACATGTCCTTAAAACAACCCTTAACGTTCGTTTTCAAAACTGTGCAACTCACCGAGTGGTTAGTGGTGTTCGTTGATGTTCCAAAACAAGTAGCGTAGCGAAATACAGTTTCTGTCGAGTTTTATTAGCCATTTTTTTAAA